AGCTACTTCAAACTCCCCACCTCAGCTCCAATCAGAAAAATCACGAGATCTAGTTGCACTGATGTCTCATTATCTGTGTGCTGCAGGTTGAGAATAATTGCTAAATAAATTAGCGTCAGACCAGAGAGCATGAAATGAAGGAGACCAAGGAAGTGAGCTGCAACATGGTAAATTAAAAACAAGTTGAAGGCTTCCTAAGTTGAACAATAGAACCTATAAGTGCAAAGGGGAAATTCAGTTTTAGCTTCTATCGAATGAAAAGTGAAGGTAAAGAAATATTTTCATAAGAAGTATCTACATTCTTCTTTACATACACATGTGGCCTCCTGGTGGGCAACATTATTGAAAAGCAGATGGAGACTTTACCTCTTTCATGTTTACATGGATGGAGCTGGAACATACTCTTCTAACAGAGTATCTCAAGAATGGAAGAAAAAGTATCCAGTGTATTCAGCCCTACTATGAAACCAATTTGTAGCTTTCATATGAAAGCTATAACCCAGTTATAGCCCAAGAAGAAGGGGAAAGGAGAAGGGGGGGGAGGATGGGTGGAAGGAGGGTAATTGGTGGGACCCTACAGTGCATCTTACAAGGGTACATGTTAAATTTACTAGGTGTAGAATATAAATGTCTTCACACAATAACTAAGAAAATACCGTGAAGGCTATGTTAACCAGTTTGATGAAAGTATTTCAAATTGTATATAAAACCAACCAGTTTGATGAAAGTATTTCAAATTGTATATAAAACCAGCACATTGTACCCCAAGATTGCATGAATGTACACAGCTATAATTTGATTTTAAAAATTCATTTAAAAAATATTCGATTTGGGGGTTGGAAATTTAAAACTATCTTCCCAGCTCCGGTGCCATTTTTTTTAGATTAGAATTCATAGACTTTGGTATGAGTCTTTTGTGGATATTGAAAAATAAAGGTTTCAGTGCATATAAAATACATGGAATTTAGTTGCATCAGTAAAAGGAGTTGTCTTTGTTTATCTCAGTCTGAACTTGTGCAATATATCCAGGGTCTGTAAACGTACGGAAGTGTTAATTCTAATAATGCCTGTTGTCTGCTTCTATGTGGTACATTTGCTTCAACAGATAAAAATAAACACAGTAATATAATTACACCTGCTATTTTGTTCACACGCACACCAGCCCCCTCACATGTGTGATGCAGGCAATCTCTTCATCTCCATGAGAAGCTAAACTCTTCTTTCCCTTTTTCTGTGACACTGAGGCTCAAAGAGTTTAAGAAGGGTGACTTTGGGTGGGCATAGGTCAGGCACGATCTGCTTGCATAAATATTTAGGCCATGGGGACATGATCTGTATTTTCAGGGAGCATACAGTTTTTGTTTTTGGCTAGTGAGGTGAAAAACAGGTGTGAAAGATAAAAGAGGTAAAGTCTCCATTTTTTCTTTTTTGGCCAGTGCTGGGTTTGAATCCACCACCTCTGGTACATGGGGCCAGTGCCCTACTAGTTTGAGCCACAGGTGCTGCCCAAGCCTCCTTTTTCTTTTTTTTTAAATGAAGTTCTCCAATTTGTACGAATAATCAACACATTGAATCCCACAATGGCATAAATGTATTCATGATCTATGTACAAATGACTTCACAACAACAACAACAACGAAAGACATGAAAGAAACAAAATTAAGTGGAATATTAGAATACAACTTTTGGATCAAATGAAGGAACATCACAGACTGTGCAAAAACTTCCACATAATCCGTTTTGAAAGGAGAGGCAAGTTCAGGACACAGTGGTGAGCGATGGTTTCACGGAGTGGAAGGAATTTGAGGAGAGTTTTGAAGAGCTTGAAAAGGCAGCGGGCCTGAGGGGGTAAGTTTCCCAGGAAGAGGTGATTCAGGTGGGGTGAAATGGAGGGAGGTTAAGTGGACTAAGAATTAATCGGGTGGAAGAGTTCAGATCATAGGAAGACGGATAAAGGGTAAGTTATGACGTTGTATTTACTAAGCTCTCACTCTGTCATGTCTTTTCTAAACGACACTTGTATTAATCCCTGTCCTCTCCCCAATAACCCTGTGAGGCATCCTCACCACACACCACGATGTACAAGCTGAGGTTCTGGCTGTTTAATTGCTTGACTAAGTTGTTCAAAGTCACGCAGTCATTTATGGCAGAACCAACATTCAAATCTGGTTTCTGGACCCGTAGTCCCGTGTGAAGACTGTGTGGCCTGCCCTGTTGTGAGATGACGGTCACCCTGGTCGGACACTGTCATCTCGACTTCCTGCAGGGGACAGGCCAGCTGCCTACAGAGCTTCACGTTCACTCTGGGAATGGGAGTCGCACTCAGAGTTTACGTTCATGGAGCTGAATTTGGCAGCCATATGAAGGAGGAGATGAGGTGATGACATTCATCCACCGTCCTTGCTCTTGCTCCCAATCCTACATCGGGAACTGTGTTTACAGGAGATAACCCTCTGCCTAGCCGGTCGTCCCCTCAGTCTTTGTTAACGATTCTTTTCCCACAATACCTAGAACCACATGTTATCACCAATGTCCTGTCAAAGTCCTTCTGCTTAGATAAAAAAGTCACATTCAAGTTCTGATTTTATTTTTCACAGCAGATTCTCTAAGTTTCAAGGATTCAATAATTTCACACATTGGTCAAAGGAAACAATTGTTGAAAAACACATTTTTTTTTTCTTTTATCCTTTTCATTGCCTGCCTCATTCTTGTTTCTACCTCCTGCCTGTAGCAACTCGGATTTTCTCAAAAGACCTTGGAGATCCCTTTTCACTTCAGCAATGCCCTGCCTGGGCTGCCATAAAGGAGAGAATAATCCACGGGCCTGGACTTAATAGGAGGAAGAAACACATCTTAAGTTGTGAAGAAGCCCAGGGGTCTGCGAGTTATCTTATTCCTTTGCTGCATGCCTCCATGAGCATCTTTACAGAGATGTGTATCTCTTTGACCTATGGAGAAAAATAATCCCCCAGAAATTCAGGCTGAGTCAAAATTCCCGTCTTCTTCATGGAATCTTTCTCTAGAACTCATGAGAGGGCATTGCCTTCTCAGCTATGACTGATCGCAAATGAATTATGAGTTAGAAATTGGCCTGTTACATCACAGGTAATTATTTTGTTTTCTTCACATCTCTTTATTGTAAAAATGTTTTGTTGTTTTTGTGTTTTTGTGTTGCTTTTTGTAATTAAAATCCAATCAGCATACGTGGATATACAATCAATTAAATAAGCACATTTATTGAATACAACACATTGCTGGCACGTATGCTTGGCATATATAATTTAGAATTTGATTAATAAAAAGTGAAGTCAAACAACTTCACTGAAATAGAGTCTGGAAAATAATCCCTGCCAAAATTGTTACATAATTTTACTGAGCGGTATGTAGGACATAAAAGATAAGGAATCAGAACAGTGCACCAAGAGAAAGTGAAGGTCTCGATTACGTGCCACTTAAATACTCCTTGGGGTGAATGAAAAATGTTTAAAATCCTTTTATGTGGGGGCTTACCACAAAAACACATTTACAAGACAAACAAACTAAAACAGATGTGAAAGTTTAGATATTTTTTAATAAAACACTAGATTTGCTTTATAGATCTTCCTCTTTCTTCTGTTGTAGAACAATTAAAATATCTTTTATAAGGCTCGGCACGCGTAGCCCAGTGGTTATGGTGCCAGCCTCATACACTGAGGCTGGTGGGTTCAAACCCAGCTGGGGTCTGCTAAACAAGGACAATTGCAACCAAAAAAATAGCCAGGCATTGTGGTGGGTGCCTGTGGTCCTAGCTACTTGGGAGATTGAGGCAAGAGAATCTCTTAAGCCCAGGAGTTTGAGGTTGCTGTGAGCTGTGACACTACAGCACTCTATAGAGGGCGAAATAGTGAGATTGTTTCAAAAAAAAGAAAAAAAAGAAAAGAATTAAAGAAAGTGGATCTGCTTAAAAGGTGATATTTCAATTTTTATAGCAATTCCATTAAACGTTAAACTGTAATACTTCAATCAAAACTTTGAAGTTAATATTCCATCAGGGTAAAAGCTGAAAGGGACGTAGAAAACAGATGTTGGTCACTTCACTGCCTTTTACTTGGTCGTTTGATTTTTATGTTCTATTTAAGTGTATTACAGGAGGACAAGCAGTTTTGCTACATAAATTATCTTTGTGCAGTTTAAGTCGAAGCTGTAAGTGTGTCCCTCCTCCAGAGAGTGTGCACTGCGACCCTCAGGTGTGAATTCACCATTCTCTCCTCCATCCTACCTGCCAGCTTTCCACCGTACTGATTCATTCATCTGGATACATTTCTTTTTTATGGGACACAAGTCATAGTCAATGGGTTAATAGATGTGTTTTGAAAAAAATAAATAAATAAAAATTCAGGTTCCTTGTTGACTGGCTCTGAGAAAAATATACTAAAACGGGGGGGAAAATATTGACGTCACAGAAACTAATTTATCACAATGGTTTGTTTCTCTCTAAAGTTAGGCATCACCTAGACAGATGCTCATGATGTGCAGATACACATGCACAGTGTGCCCGCACATACACATGCACAGTGTGCCCATGCATACACACATACACACACAGTGTGCCCACACATACACACGCACAGTGTGCCTGCCCATTCACACGCACAGTGTGCCTGCACATAAACACAGTGTGCCACACATACACACGCATAGTCTGCCTGCACATACACACACACAGTGTGCCCACACATACGCAGTGTGCCCGCACATTCACACGCACTGTGTGCCTGCCCATTCACATGCACAGTGTGCCTGCACATAAACACAGTGTGCCACACATACACACGCATAGTCTGCCTGCACATACACACGCACAGTGTGCCCACACATACGCACAGTGTGCCCGTACATACGCACAGTGTGCCTGCACATTCACATGCACAGTGTGCCCGCAAATACACACAGTGTGTCCGCACATACATACAGTGTGCCCACACACACACACACACATCCTGCCCGTGTAGCGCACTCACTTTTGGTCACGACGCCTTCTAAGTGAATGATGTTAGGATGATCGAACTGTCCCATGATACTGGCTTCGCCCAGGAAGTCTCTGCGCTGCTTCTCTGTGTAGCCCACTTTGAGGGTTTTGATGGCCACGGGTAATTCTCTTTTTCCCGGTAACTTCAAACGTCCACTACAAACTTCACCAAATTCACCTTGTGATAAAGATAGGGAAAATGTACAAACTCATTTGCAATTCTTACTCTAATAATGCTCTCTGAGAATATTAAAGCAGACCAAAAAAAAAAAAATAGCCAAAAAGGGGAGTGTAAACTTCATTATCGATGTTCATAAAAATAAAAGGTATGTTTGGAAAAATCATCTGCCCAAGATCCTAAAACATTTTTGGGGTTATTAGCTCCATCCATCTCACCTACAAAAAGCTTAATGAAAGCATAAGAAATAAAAGAAAAGCAACTGACTAAAACATACATTTTCTTGTTTCTCTTTCTACTCTAGTAGTATAATTAATAAGAAGAGAAAAGAACAAAGGTCATAGTCAGACAAAAATAAAAAAAAATAAGGCAGAGATGAATTATGTAAATACTTCAGGGTATTACAAATTCTCTCTATACATGTAGTAAATGGTGACATATTATCTATTTGAAAATAGAACTTTTGTCAGTTTCTTATTCCATAAACCAGACATTTGCTGGTTTAAGCATGAGCCACATGGAAAGTTGCATTAAAATGTGATCAATTATACCCCACTTTGAAAGCTAGTCAATTCCAAGGGATGAAAGGCATTCTGTGTTGGATCAGCCCTGAGATACATCACATGTGATAGCGCAGGCAGAAGTTCAAAGTCAGAATCACGGGCCTTGCCGCACCTGCTCCGATGACTCTCTCGATGGTGATGCCAGAGGCTTCTATCTCCTTGGCAAACTCATGGACAGCTTGGTTGGGATCTTCATAGGTGTGGGGATCAATGTAGGTTCTTACTCCCGGCAGCTTAACTGCAAAAATAATTGTGCATTAAAATAGAAGTGCTTGTGATGGATAAGTAAAGTTATAAACATTATTAACATGCTACCCTGGCTTAAATCTCTAGTTCCTGGAAGTAGCTGAGCTACAAGGACAGGCCCCCTTCTGAGTCGGGAGAGGCAGGTGTTTCAGCAACGGCACTTCTGTATTTTAGACAGCTGCACCCCACGAGAAATGCATGAAAGATGACAGATCGGAGGAGAGACAACTGGACAATAAATGGTGAGCGGGTCATTCATGGGTGTGCATTCTGTTCCACTTAGAAATATAATCATAGATTTTCAACTGAACAAAAATAATCCGC